ATTCAAGCTTCCCCACTCATGGCAGCAGGTAATAGCTGAAGTACTCAATTCCCTGCCTCCCACATGGGAGACCTGGATTAAGTTCTCAGCTCTTGGATTTCTGCTGGCCCAGCTCCAGCTGCAATGGGTATCTGGAGGAGTGAACCAGTAGATGGGAGATCTCTGTCTGTCTGCCTTTCAAATACATAAAATAAATACATTTAAAAGTTATACAAAAAATAGAGACTTCTGGGAGCCTTGAAAAATGCACACACATTTCTAGAAATTCAAAAAGGATGTCCTGCCTAAATATTAAAGAGATGCGTGAAGTCAAATTTCCATCTCACTTACTTCCATAGGCACTTTCTGAGTCTATGTGCACTTTCAGGCACTGAGCTGAGAGATGAGACTATGAAGAGGAAGACTTGCCCATGAGTTGGAGGAAATTAGCATAAGGGTTGAGAGTAGATGGATAGAATATGCAAGTTTGAAGCTGGCTTGTGGGAAACAGTTGGTCCCCACCGAGCCATGCCCAGATGCACTGCTCAGGGCCTCACTGCTGGGTAGAGGAAGGCATTGTGTGTGCTTACAGCCCAGATCCATTTTCAGTCTGCATGAAGCTTCTTCCTTGCCTAAGGCTGTGGTCCTTTCCCTGGCCACATTGTTCTGATGGGTACTTAGCTCCCATCTGCTATTTGGTTTACATATTGCTCAGATTTTAAGGTCCATGAGGCAGAATGCTGTCTTTTGCATCTCACTATTTGCAAAGTTTGGGCTGCATATAAACCATGAATGTGAATCAGAATTTGGGTTTCAGCCACAACAAATTTTGACCTGACAATGACTAAATCTGAAAATGTTTGAAACCAGAATGCAAACCCATTGTACCCACAACTCTCTATAATTTCCATTAATTGCTCTAATATGCTGGCTTCTCTTTTTGATCGTGTGCCCTTTAGAAGAAAATCATTGATACATTAATTACAGCTTTCATCTGGAGGTTCGAGCATTTCTAAGCATTTATTGGGATTTCATGCCAAACTGGGGGATAATTGCACATAAAAGGATCATGCTGGGTTAAACATTGAGATGGGGTTTTCAAATATCCTTTCTCTAGCATAAATACCCCCGTTGACAACCCCAGGCATCTCATTGCCCTGTGCAGCTTGGCTAAGTCCATTTCCTGTTTTGTGATAACCCAGGATAACGGATTGTCCTCTGAGAGGTAACCTTCAAGCTCGGGGCCTGAGATGTAGCTTCCAGTCGGAAGTTGGCAGCAGGTGAGATTGTGAAGCCTGAGCCTTGGAGAAGCGCTGAAGAATGCCAGCAACTGGCACAGCATCAACACGGCTTCGTGTTCCACCAGGGTATCCCAGAAGGACCCATCTGTCAATATGGGATGATGGCAACGTTGCCCGGAACTGTGGATGGCTCAGCTGGATTCCAGCACGAGGCACTTGGCTGGGGTTGCACTCCTTTCAGATGTCTGGAGGGTGCGTCCTGGGGTCCGAACCATTCATCCTGGAGGGGCTGGCGGTCACTGTCTTGCTACCTGCTGGTTCCCTGGCTTTTCTTCCTCTCCCATGCCTTCCTGACCAGCAATATTTTTCAGGTTTAATTAGGTAACACTTTTCTTGAACGTTTTCTTACGTTCCCCTGTGAAGCCACAGATGGAGAATCACAAACTGAGGGTTTCAGCGATGTATTTAAGGAGGCATCTGGCAAACAAATGGTTTCCATAAACAAACATAGAAGTTGTTTCCTTTTCTGTTGTCACCCAAAGAGCTGGAAGGGAGCAGAGTAAGAAGCAGCCTCTGAGCACCCCGGCCTCTGGTTGGAGCTGGCTGTGTTGTTCGGGTGTTTCTCCCCCACTTGATGAATTTCTCTGAAGAGCTACTTGCTGAAGCATGTAAATGGGGCACAGGACTGGGACATACCCTAATCACCAAGTCCTGGCTGATACTAGAGGGGGTTAGTCCAAATGGGCTCATCTCCACCAACACACGGTGGCTACCCTTCCAAATTGCCGTTCATCAGGCACTCACCATGTGCTAAGCATAGGTTAGGCAATTTACATATGACAGCTTTGGAAATCAGTTACAAAGATCAGAGAAGGTAACTTTTCCAAAGTCACAGAGCTAACGAGAAAATCCCAAGCCCAGGATAGAGTTTGGGCTCCAAAGCTTTTGTTCTCTGCTCCACCCAGGCTGCCTTTCTGTTATCACCTTAGATGCATCCAGGTTCCTGCGTGTGTGTGTATGTGTGGATATATGTGTGTGTGTATATGTGTGTATGCCTGTGTATATATGTGTGTATGTGTGTGTATGTGTGTGTATGTGTGTGTGTGTAGGCACATGCACATCTGCACTGTGTGCTTGTGTGGAAATATTTGCATTATATCCCAGGGGAACAATCTCTCTCTCTCTCTCTCTCTCTCTCTCTCTCTCTCTCTCCCCCTCTTTTCTCTCTTCCTCTCTTCCTCTCTCTCTTCCTCTCTCTCTTCTCTCTCCCTTCTGTTTCTTTTTTCTCCCTCTCTTTGCCCCCGATTTGTCCTCTCCCTCTCTTTCATCTCAAATCCATCAGGACTCAGTTTTATCATCTTATTCTGAGTCCTGTACTGTCTCCCCCCACCCCAGAAGTACTATGACTTTTCTTTGTTTTTACTTTCTGTATCAGTGAGGTTGATGTGATATTTAAAAAGCATTTGTTGGGGCTGGCGCTGGGTGTAGCTGTTAAAGCCACCACGTGCAATGCCAGTATCCCATCTGGGGACCAGTTCCAGTCCTGGCTGCCCCACTTCCGATCCAGCTCTCTGCTCTGGCCTAGGAAAGCAGTAGAAGATGGCCCAAGTGCTTGGGCCCCTGCACCCACGTGGGAGACCCGGAAGAAGCTTCTGGCTCCTGGCTCCTGGCTCCTGGCTTCAGATCGGCCCAGCTCCAGCCGTTGTGGCCAGTTGGGAAGTGAACTAGCAGATGAAAGACCTCTTTCCCTCTCTCTGCCTCTTCCTCTGCCTCTCTGTAACTCTCTTTCAAAGAAATAAATAAATCTTAAAAAAATATTTGTTAACAGACTAATGGGGCTCATTTACTTGCTTTAAGTATAAGGTTAACATCTGAGAATCCCATGTTCTGTTTGACCGTGTGCTATCCTTGTTGCCTGGGAAGTGGGGGAAGTTGGGCACATGCTCCCCCCCCCCTTACTGCCACTGCTGTGTCCTCCCCAGCAACCACCGAGGCCAGGATGACCATGCTCCCCCCAGTTCCATGGCTGAAAACTCTGGGGCTCAGAGAAGTTGCAATATTCATTTCAAGTCACCGACGAGAAAGTTCCAGACGTGGGATTTTCCCTCCCCCTGCCCTTGTAGTCCCGATCTCCTCCAGCTGCTGCCTGGGCTGGGTGCGCTGCCTCCTCTGCCTGCCAGCCCTAAAGGCTGTGCTGCTCCCAGGCCCCGGGGGAGCAGGAGGATGCAGTTGGCCCTGTGTGCTCAGCTTGTTGCTGACGACTGCCAGGATCAGAGGAGGAATAAACAGGGCTCAGCAGGCCTGTGTTTGTGTTCTCCCTTGTTTCAATAAAATATGATCTTCCTCTAGACAGCCCAACGTGGTCCACTGAGTTCATTAAATCAGAAGCTCTCTCTGCTGCTCTCACTCAAAGAAAATTCCACTTCTGCACAGATGGTGGGACTGAGACTAGAGTAGCATGGGGACCCTGGTGGGAAAAGCTGCCACAGAGACAGACAGGAGGGCAGGTGTTCTTGAGACATGGCAGTCCGGGGTGGGGGGGGGTAGAGATCCATACCCTTCGTCAAAGTGAGCTTGCAGCTTTTATCCCACTTCGATGCGTATGGGTATAATTATCCCCTTTTATAGATGACCGGACAGAGGCCCAGTGACATCGGGCGACTCATTCAGTTCCATTCGGCAGGTTGGTGGCAGAACCGGGATCCGGGTGAGCTTGCTCTTGACTGGCATTGGATGGATTTCTGAAATGATCAGATTTCCTCATGGAATTCCTTTTAGCTCCATCACCATCCTTCCACGTCATCACTCATCCATGATTTAAAAGGCACACTCTCCCACGGCCCAGCCTCCTTGCTGTGGACTTGCTCAAGTTTACCCTGAGCTGAAATCACCCTTTCCGTCCTAATTCATGTCCTCAGTAAGGTTTTCAGCCCAAGCTCTCTGTCCCTTAGGGCCAGTACTTCTGCTTTCTTCAATCAGTTCTCATGAGAGGCAGAACCTGGACTTATCTCAGTCCCAACTGCCTTTCTCTGGATGTGCAGTCATGGAAAATGAACACCCATCACCGCGGGGGTGCGGTCTAATGAGGTCAGTGCACAGGGAGGACTCTGAGACCATGGGGGAGGCAGTGTGGAGAGTACGTGTCCGTTCGTCACCCATGGGTCCATGCCCCGAGGTGGCTCTCTGCCTGCCCTCCTGGAGGCATCTGCCCTACGCTCTCCACAATGGGTCGGCACTGTGAGAACAGGCATGGTGTCTTATGCCGTACTTCCCCTCTCCTGCCCAGTCCCTCTGAGCTTCCTCTTCAACACTGAGCATTTCCTGACATCAGCTGCACACAAGGCTGGGTGCCACACCCTAAGGATATGATGTACCAGCAGGGAGAGTCTTCCTGGCTATTTGGAGCACACAGGAATGCACAGGTTGTCCCACATCTGATGTCTCACAATGGCTGGTGGCTCTCAGCAGGATATAGGTGTGAAATCAGTCTTGACCTAAGTGTGGTGACAGAGGTCCAGGGATCAGAAAAGCAGGGGATGTTCAAAGCAGGGCTCAGCCTGAAAGCCTTTGAGACAGGGAGGTTCAAAGGTCAGGTGCAAACAAAGAGGCCAGAAGCCTATACTTAAGCTTGCATCTGAAGCAAGGAGTTTTCTTTTTATTTTTTGACAGGCAGAGTGGACAGTGAGAGAGAGAGAGACAGAGAGAAAGGTCTTCCTTTGCCGTTGGTTCACCCTCCAATGGTTGCCATGGCCGGTGTGCTACGGCCCGTGCACCGTGCTGATCCGAAGTCAGGAGCCAGGTGCTTCTCCTGGTCTCCCATGGGGTGCAGGGCCCAAGCACTTGGGCCATCCTCCACTGCACTCCCTGGCCACAGCAGAGAGCTGGCCTGGAAGAGGGGCAACCGGGACAGAATCCGGCACCCCGACCAGGACTAGAACCCAGTGTGCCGGCGCCGCAAGGTGGAGGATTAGCCTAGTGAGCCACGGCACCGGCCTGAAGCAAGGAGTTTTCAAGAGCAAGTAAGCGAGTCAGAAGGAAACCTAAGGGACCTGGGTCACAGCTTCACACATGTCTGTTTTCATGTGTCCCCTGGTCTGTGGGCACAAGCCAACCAAGAGCCAGGCCAGGACTGGCGTGGACAACGATGTGATGACATTTGCCACATTCTATAGATAAGGAAAGGCACATGGTCAATTGTGAAATAATAATCACTAGAACCATAATTAAATTCTGGTCTTCTGACCACATAATCCCAAGCCACTATGTTTTTCCATGCTCTTTCTGCCTCAAGATCTTTATTTTTTGCCTCTGGCTACAATTGCCTGGAGCAGTGTGAGCTGGAGGTGTTGCACGCTGTGTGTGACAGGCTGGGTATGAGAATTAGGGGCTCACATCCTATGACCTGTACATGGCTTAGCCCATAACAATGCCAACAGCTGCCTCCTCAATGGTATGTAGTATAAATATGTAATTTCTGATGCCAAATAGGCAGCCATTTGTTGACTTTTTTTGTTAGATAATAACTTCTCGGGTTTCTCAACCATAGCACTGTTGACACATTGGCTGCAAGGAAGTCTGTGGCAAATGTAATGAAAAGATGTTTATTTTGGTGCAAACATTTTTGAAGTCCATGCATACAAAGGATCTTTAAAAAGTTCATGAACAAATTTTTGCAACAAAAATAAGTGTATCTTCTACTTCCATTTTCCCATGAAATTTTGAATGTCCTCCTACACTGTCATACGAGACAGTTCTGTGTATGGCAAGATACTGAGGGGCAACCTTGGCCTTTACCCACTGGGTGTCAGTAACCCTCCTCACCCCAGTTATGACAAGTAGTGATGTCTCTAGATACCCCCAGATATCCTCCAGGGATCAGAACTGCCTCCTACCCTCTGCATGATTTTAAATGCAGTGAGATCAACAGGTATGAGGGTACGTTCTCTCCACCTCACCCCTCACCTCTATCCGACCATTCAGCTGTCCTGTGACTTTTTTTTTCTTTTCAAATTGCTCTACTTGTTGTTGTGGAGTTTTACAATGAAGCTGCTCTCATGATTGCTGAGTGCACAGAGGCCTTGCACAGGGAAACCTGAAGGGGAAGAAGGGACCTGAAAGGTGAGCTATTCCTAGGAGACTGCTCAGAGTTCGGACAGCTAAGCAGAGGCCACTGCTCTGGGCGGGCTTTGCAAAAGTGGGCAGATGCTGAGGAAGGAAACATGAGGGCAGGGGCTGAGCCCCTCACCTCCAAATACCGCGATAGCTGCCTGACTTGAGAAAGAAGGAAAGCACATAAGCATTCCTGCCATTCACTTGACCTTGCCCACTTGGAGCCAGGTACTTTCTTGTCTTTGGAGCAGCCAGGATTTTCCTGGGCACAGCTGTCCTCTAGCATCTCTCCAGACATTCTGTACTGTCCCATGTTTGCAAAGTGTTTTCCCAGGTTACATGCGTGTTATTGTTTCAATAGGCACCTGCATTCCAACTTGACAGATGAAGAAATAGACTTTCCTAAGAATCAATGTTTCCCTTTTATTTATTTATTTTTCTAAAGCTTTATTTATTTATTTGAAAGGTCAAGTTACAGAGAGAGGGAGAGACAGAGAGATCTTCCATTCACTGGTTCACTCCCAAAATGGCCACAACAGCTGGGACTGGGCCAGGCCGAAGCCAGGAGCTTCTTCCAGATCTCCTATATGGCTGCAGGGTTCCAAGCACTTGGGCCATCCTCCACTGCTTTCCCAGGTGCATTAGTGGGGAGCTGGATAGGAAGTGGAGCAGCTGGGCTGTGAACCTCTACCCATATGGGATGCCCGTGCTGCAGACGGCAGCTTAACTCGCTGTGCCAGAGCACTGGCCCTTCCTTTTTATTTTAATGAAAAAATTTCAGTCTCAAATTTGCAGCCAAGTTGCAACAGCAGTACAGAAAACATTTTCCTGAAGCATTTGCTAGTAGACTGCTCTCTTGATGCCCTGTCACACCCAAATAGTGAGAGTTTATTTCTGCACACACAGACAGTCCTCCACACTGCCACGATCTACATACAAAATAACAAAATTAGCACTGACACCTTTCTACCCTAGAATCCTCTGTCCAATTTCAGTTTTGCCAGTTCTGCCAGTGTTGGCCTTTGGAGCAGATGAATCTACTCAGAGTCATGTATGACAGCTACTTGTCATGTCTTTTGGTTCCTCGGCAGAGGAACTATAGAAAATGAAATCCAAAGTTCACAAAACAAAATGTAAAATGGTGTGTTTCGTAAATTTGCAGCATTTATTCTCTGAAGTTATCACAGCTTAAAACTACATTTTTGGATGTGCTGTATATTGGAAACCACAAGTTCACACAATGTGTATAAATCAAATCGATACAAAGAGGTCCACTTTAGTTATCTCTCTTTGCATGTTTGCAACTTCCTTCTCTAGAGGCGAGAACCCCGACTTCCACTGTTGAAGTATCTCGATTTGATCCGCTCCCTGTGTGTAGCCAACCTGGCATCCTTGCATGCCCCACCCTGGGCAGCTCAGCGGCACCAGCTCAGGCTCCCACTTCCTGTTCTTGGCCCTTCACTGCCATCTCTGCTGGCCTGGGCATGAGCACACTTGCCTCATCCTCTTCTGGTCCCAATCCTCACTGGATACTGCAGCCCCTTCATTCCCAGCCCCTCAGCCAGAGAAGAGGCCTGCTTTACGCGGTGTGATCAATGCATGTAGAAGTGGGTTGCTTAGGAAGGGAACAGGAGGGTCAGATGACCCGGAGAGTCGGGGGGTCATGATTTCCTGTCCTTGCAATCTGGGTTGCTTCTCATATGCTGCCCTGCCCAGCCTCCCTGTGGACAGTCACTGGGATCTGTATCTTAGTTTGGCTCCTTCTGATTCTTCAGCCACAGCTGACACTGTGGATCAGGTCTCCTTTTCTGAAACTCTCTTCTCTCTTGGCTCCCACATCTCCACTATCTCTATTTCTACCATCATATCTCCACTAGACTTCTCAAACTCTGTCTTGGAGTTTTTCTCTTCCTACCCCTAAAATATTGATGTTTGCTCATTATTTGCCCTTGATTTCCTTTCTTCCTTACTCTACACATTGCTTTGAATTGTATCAGCCACTACCAAAATCACCTGAAGAGCAGTGGATGAATTTATCCACTGCCAAATGAAACACAGAACACACCTGAGAGCAGACCTTTTAATATCTTAATGGACAATGTGAATCTTCAAGACAGTGCTAATCCCAGTATCAAATCTATTTGTCCACAATACGGTTTTGGAATCTCTATTAACACCTTGTGAAAACACTGGTGTGTAATGGATCACTGTGTAGAAAGTGTTGCTTGGAAGTGTTGACTATAGGATGCTCTGGAACACATCCAGGAGGCATGCATCACACGTCCCCTCTCAAGGACGGCGCTGTGGCTCACTTGGCTAATCCTCCGCCTGTGGTGCCGGCACCCCAGGTTCTAGTCCTGGTTGGGGCACTGGATTCTGTCCCAGTTGCTCCTCTTACAGTCAAGCTCTCTGCTGTGGCCTGGGAGGGCAGAGGAGGATGGCCCAAGTGCTTGGGTCCCTGCACCCGCATGGGAGACTCAGAGGAAGTACCCGGCTCCTGGTTTCGGGCAAAACAAACAGACAAACAAAAAAACAAGTCCCCTCGCAAAGAGAAGAGCACATGGCACATCCTATTCAGTTGGATCAGTATGGAGGGTCCTTAGAAGTAGGAACATGGGTGCGCTTCTGTGATGGTCTGAAAGATACAGAGGCGGTAGTGGTAAACATTCTTTTTTTTTATTTAATGAATATAAATTTCCAAAGTACGGCTTATGGATTACAATGGCTTCCCCCCCATAACGTCCTTCCCACCCGCAACCCTCCCCTTTCCCACTCCCTCTCCCCTTCCATTCACATCAAGATTCATTTTCGATTCTCTTTATATTCAGAAGATCTGTTTAGCATACATTAAGT